TTCATGCAATCTACGTTTTGTTTTTCCAATGTAGAAATCCTGGCAGTCCCAACAACTAGCCTTATACACAGCTTTTAACACTTGGGAAAGGTTAATCCTATATCTTTGTAGGGGAAAAAAGACTTAATGCGATAAGAATGCAGTTAAATTGCCTCCACGATGCAAACCCCAAAACCCAGTCATTGCTTTTGTGTGTGAGTACTTAAGTTTCTTACACATTGGTCAGTGACTTTTTCAGACAGCTTTAGGATAATGCTCAAGTTCTCTACCACTTTCCGTACAAGTGCAGTAAGGAAAATTACAACACATCTGCAACATGGGATGAACAAAATTTTGCAACCTTCCAAGCTGGGTAGGGACACTTTCAATACTCTCTTTGTGTTTTTTGAGAGCTGGGGTAATATCTTTCAACACTTCTTTGTACTCTGGCATGTCAACATGAATGGGAGAGCTCTCTGCAGGGTCATCTGTCATGTCGTAAAGAAGAGGAGGATCATGGATGTTAACTTCGTCTCCATGGCAACCACATACACCTTTTCCACTGCAGCTTTCAGTTCCCTCATTCCATTTCGATGTCATAAAATGCGCCTTCCAGACAGTGTCAGTGTTTTTTGGATGATAACGCACAGCATGGACCTGATTTCCACAATAATGGAAAATAAATTCATGAGAAGACTCCTGTCTCATGTTGGTCAGCAGTGGTAAGAGATCTTTTCCATCAATGACTCTGTCCTCTGGAAGGTCTCCACCAGTCAGCTTGGCAATTGTGGGTAGTAAGTCCATAGTACTAGTGAGCTCGTCAAATACGATCCCAGTTGGGATGTGACCTGGCCATGATACTACAGTGGGCATCCTAACACCACCATCCCAACACTGTCCTTTGCCTGTCAATTAAATGGAAAACACTAGTAAAATATTAATAGTAAGCAACATTAATAATTGGTATGGAACATCAGTGAGTGTAGTTTGCCTAATCACTACACACTTGCAAGGATAAACTCTTCCATTGAATAACAATATTACTAATAGTATTGGGGGTGAATTGTTGTGGCCCCAACTTTAAAGAGTCCATCCAGTAGGGATGGTTAATTTGTTCTTAGCATATAAATGTAAAACCAGGTCTTTATCTAAAATTGGATAAATTGACAGAGAGTGTTTTCTACATTTCTGCAAAATTAGTTGACATTAGGCTACCTGTCAATCATATGGATGGCTGCAGCCATCTTCTGAGTTTGAGACATCTTACCTCCTTTGTAGATACCATGCCAGCCGCCGTGATATTCACCCGTGTCACTGATTTCTTCCAGATGAGGGCCATTGTCAGATGTAAAGTAAACAAACGTATTTTCCTTCAAACCCAGTTCCTTAACAGCAGCCATGATCTGACCTACACTCCAATCCATTTCTTCAACATTATCACCATAGCGACCATGGACACTGTGATTTGCGAATGGTAGTGTATTGAACAAAGCAGTGTGCACTTTGGCAAATGACATGTACAGTGAGAAGGGGCTTTCTTTGTTTGTGAGGATAAAGTTGACTGCTTCATCTGTAAACCTCATTGTTAAGTTTTCCAAAATGGTTGGTTGCTCCACAACTTCATTGTTTTTCAGTACAAAGCAGTTCAATCCTCGAGTTACTGTTAACCAGCCAGTTATTGCAAAGCAAATGAGCAGACTTGATGTTGAAAGGAAAATAAAACCAGACTTCTTTAGTAGACCAGTCAGGTAGAAAATATTAAGTGTTGTTACAACAACTGCTGCAGTAGCAAGAACATTTCTTGGATTCAACCTAGGATACAGGAGGTTTATAAGATACTGACCAGACTCGCAAGTTCTTAAGTTAGTAAGAGGCAGACCATAAAAATAATGGAGACCTTGCTTCAAAGGGTGGAAGTGGAAATCTGAGTTTGATGATAGGTGCAGACCTAGATGCCACTTTCCAATGATACCTATAAAACAGAAAAAGACAAAGAAATAACTGTTGGATTTTCTGAAGTTGACTTTGAATTCAATTCAGTCAACACCCAACAGTACAGATGAGAATAGCCATATGAGCGTTCAGTAATATTTCCATAAAGTTAGACAAAAAAACTCCCTTTTGTGGACACCCAAAATAACACAATTCCTGAGTTGTTTCAAAGTTTCTGGTGTGACAGCAATTAATTAAAGAAAAAAAAATACTAAACTTATCAGTAAAGTTTACCAAGTTTCTTTAAGTTGAGCTAGAGCTGCATAGGTCTGCAATGCATGTAGAGAGCAAGAGAGTTCTTTCCTTTTCTTGAGGGTGGCAGAGGTAGCGTACCAATCATGCATCACACTGAATTTTTCTATTAGATCGCCGATCACGCATAATTTTCTTTCACTAATCACACGTCACGTAAAAAGAAGTAAGTTAACATCGCCTACACTGTATGGTACTTTCTTGATCCTAAAAGCCTTGATAAAAGTAGAACTCTGCTGATTCAACCACAGAAATGCATTGGCAAATATTCCAAACATTTACCTGGAAAGTGACAATTATTGACTAAACTAAAAGTGGACTGACCCATACAGAAGACTGCAAGATTCGATCTGTATCCAGGAGGCTCCTGGATAATCTGGGAGAGTTGGCACCGTCTATGAACAGGCTCCCGGCAACTAGCATGAAAAAACTAAAATAGGGCGAGTGAAGCAAGCCTAGCAGGGTGTGATTTTTCCTTTTCCAGACCGCTCTCAGCTATCTCCACCCACCTGTTATTGTTCCCTTCCCCTATCAATCGGGAGCCTGCTCACAGGCTAAGTTGGCAGGGACTTTGTATACAAATTGAGAAGACATCTATACCACCTTTGCCATGCTTTGATGTACATGCAATATTTGTGTCAAACCTTCACCCCTGCAAATCCTCTTCTGTACAGCAATGTTTTAATGCAATCTCTGAATGACTTGGCATGGCTTTTGAATTCAGTTAGGTCTTTATGACGACCTTCATTAAGTGGTACACAAACATTTTCCTTGTTTAGTCTTTCACTGCAGATGACCAGCTATATAGCTTTCTAACTAAAGAGGACGTAATTTCTAAACAACAGTCGGGCTTTCACTCATTGCATTCAACTGTTACTGCTCTATTAGAAGCTACCGATAGTTGGGCGTTTAATATCGATCGCGGAAATGTTAATGCTGTAGTTTTTCTCGATTT